TCAAACCATATATCTTTCACTGTATTTTTGTTTTTCTAACTACAAAGCAATGGACTAAGTGAGAGGCATAAATATTCCTATCATAGAGAAACACAGAAAAAATGAGGGGTCGAGTGGTCACAAATCAATACTCCCAGAGACAAACAATTGCTGCAGAGGTGCACATTGTATTAATGAAGAGTGAATATTGATTTAGTTAATAGCACTGTTCCAGTAAACTTTAATAAGCATCAGTGACCCTGGTTTGTGAACTCTTCAAAGGAGGCAGATTCCATTATCTCTATGGATTCCTGTTCATTTAGAGAGGGCTTCTTCCATAAAAGATATTTTAGAGGAGTAAGGATAACTAACAGAAAAGTTTTGAATAGTTACAATGTGAACTTTTATCAGACCATTAATCTTTACTTCTCCCCACATTTTCTAGGAATCTACAAATCTCAACCTATTCAAAGTCCAATCCTGAATTTGCAAGGAAAACAGATTGATATTTCAGATATTTCCCTGAAAATTCTTTGGAAGCTGGTTGCTTTTTCTGCTTGCATAGTCATAGTTCATAACTTCACCTATTCAAGACACTCTGTATTCTATTTCACACATCATTTGAATTCATAAAAAAATAAATTAGACTAGAAATAGTAAAGGTTTGGACTTTATTGTCATGGGTTTTTTCTCCTCTTGTGTGAAACTGAGTAGTCCCTTAAAATTCCTTCAAGTATACTGAGAAAGGAAAGAAAGGCTGTATTATTAATGTCTTCATAAATATTGCTAAAATACAGTAGCTTTTTGATCATTCAAATTAAAATAATGTTGTCCATGAAGTCTTTTAAATAGTCAGCTAAATGAAGATGTCTGAAATATAGATCTCAACATCACAGTCCAACAATTCTGTTAAGAATACCTGTTGAAATATTAATTATTAAAAATCAGAATAAATAAAAAAATCATATAATTTATGCTGACTTTTGATAATACAAAGATTTTAGACTATAAAGGTAACACAAAAATTTTAGATTATAAAGGAAATACAAAAAAAAATATACAACATATAATGTTCTGGATATTTTTAAAATCTTGCTGTATTAACAATCCCACCTTTTCTTTCCACGTGTCCCCTTGTCATCAGAAAAGGGAATGTCTTTGTTTCTGTTCAAGCAGGCCAGGTGTATGGAAAATCCAGTTTGCCCAACCTGTCAACAGACTGTTTACCAGCATGCTTATGGTGCTCTTAATTAGCTTACACAGAATTATTTATCTTAGTTCAGTACAACAAATTGGATTCAACATTCAGCAAGAAATGCAGTTATCTACAGGTAGGGTAGGTGTTTAAGATTCAATTAAGGTCAAAGGCAATTACAGCCAATATATTCAGCAGAACAGACACTTGGGCACATTTATATAACTTAAACATGAGCAATGGCATGTCATCACATCTGACATGCTTTAGGATATGCTTTAGGGTATACAAGACATAGGAATCAGCAGATAAGACACAGGACCAAGGTGTGACCTAGAACTCCAGGTCTGGACTAGCAGCAACCAGGAGAGATATTGCAAATTGTCTATCTCCAGTGTCACCAGTCAACTCCAGTTAAGCAAAGGAATCAATGTCCCTTGCATTTCCGGTAGAGATGGGCAGATTTTTTCCAGGTTCTCTTTTTTAAGTTGGTATGTACTGAGTCAACTGTGCAATACTTCAGAACAACAACTCTCTCTGGTGAATCTTAAAATCTGTTCAGTCTGCATGATCTAGTCTTGTTTTCTGCATAGTTACTGGTGGATAATCCAAAGGGCAAACCACAGGCACTACTCAACCTTTCAGCTGAGAGCAGCACAGGACCATACCCAAGTTCACACTCTGGGACATAAAGAAACTCCCCTGAGCAGAGTGCTATCAGCAGGGTCACATCACCTTTCTTCTCCCACAAATCTAGGAATATCCCTCCATAATGCTTCTGGGCTTCTGAAGGGAAACTTGAAGGGCAAGTAATGCCCCATTGAAATCATGTCTTAATATTCAGGGAGAAAATAGTCTCATTCTGCTTTTAAATCCAGATAAACCTTGAGACCCTCTGCAGTTCATGTAAAAGTGGCAAATACATCCAAAAAAATCACCCTAAAACTGAGTTGACTTCAGATGTAAATCAGTCTCTTTAAAATGCCTATATTTCTTTGGTGATTCCAATGAAGTTTTGGCAGTCAGGTCCTCATTTGTTGCCTTCAGCTAGGTAGGATAAATTTAACCCTCTTGACTAAAAGAAAATCAAAGATAATAGAGGATAATTATGTTTTCTTATTTCTTCTTCCCCAAGCCTGCTAGAATCTTATTTTTGAGGTGCCTGTTAGCATATTTTGATGGAGACTAAGTTATTGACAGACACCTGTCTAGTTTTGAGACAGCCTTCTCATCTTCATAATTCAATGAAAGCTAAGTAGACTGACACAGAAGAATAAGTTGTCAGTCTCTCAACAAAGTATGCTTTGCCTATGGGCCTCAGAAGACACTTCTGATGATTCTTCTAAGAGAATTCCAATTCTATAGCAAATAAATATTTTTATTCATTAAACCATATATTTGGGGGCATTGTCTTGTCCCAGGAAAAATACTCCAATGAAATATACCACCTCTATAATTTTTTTTTAACTAAGTCATTTTAGTCATAGGATTTATTTGTAATACCAAAGTTTCTACATATATAACTGCTCTGACTTCAAATACAGAATTTTCTAAAATTCTTCTCCAGAGACAAGTCTGTGGTCTAACAGACCTTACGCAAAGGATTGATACTTGCCCCTATATACATACAGCAAAGTAGGTATTAAACTGCTCTTTATAGAGTAGCCCAAAGATGTTAGTTAAATGCAACATTTTGGAAAGCATTTTGATGTTTCATGTGTTGGAAAAGTTTTCCCTCTGAAAAGGTTCCAGTGATAAAAGTTACACATCGAGATGGAAGAAGAAAACAGCTAAAAATGTTTATATATGCCCAAGATGTGGCTTTTTTTGAAAAATTTAGAAAGAATGTATTGTACTTCTAATATAGCAAGAGGCTGGTTGTATTTTTCCTTCAGAAGAGATTTTTGGAGTTTAGTCTGTTAATACACAGTCAAACTAATTCTTTCTGATTTTAGTGTGGAATTTAGTGCAATTGTACCAGGAATGTTTGTCTAGTTTTGCTATTTTGGGTGAAGCAAATTAGAAAAATGAAGAGGTAAGCAGGTGGGACTTTGCTTTTGAGACATTCTGTAATTAACAGCTCAGTAACTTTGTATGTCCCTGACATTTCTTTTTTCTGTATGTGTGTGTGAAATTAGGTTATTGTTTACACACATACGATTTTTTATATAGTCAAGAAAAATATCTTCCAGCCCACTGGTTTATATATATTAAGGAAATATCTTCTTGAAAGATTTCATGTTGTTTAAAAGGCATCATTTTAAAATAAATAAGTATAGATGTGTTATTTTACAATTACTTTGATATTTTTCTGGAAATATAAGTACTATCAATACAAAAGGACTTCAATCTTCAACCAAAACACAGCTTTGTACTGAAGTATTTTGCTTTGCAGTTATTTACAAAAACATGTGCATTAGTGTATGTCTCTTAAATATTTTTTAAATGTTCATACAGAGATTTTGTTAAAGAAATAAAGAAAAAAGAAAATGCATGTACTGTGAAAAAATTAAATTAACAGGATCATCCTCTTTTTGGAAACAGGAAAAAAAATTGAAGAATTTTCATGTCATTTAATGACTTAGCAAATCTATTGGCTGTCAGTGAGTTATACTATTTAAGATACTAATTATTAAGTATACCAAAATGGAGAAGGCACAGTTTTTTTCTAACAGCATTGTACAACATGAACTAAAAAGCCAAATTTTTTATCAGGTGTGAAATACTATGCTCCTCAAGTAGCTCCTAAAGTTTGTTCTCTCTGCTTGTAAGAACATAATTTAAAAGGCCTGAAGGAGTTCCAGCAGGGAAAGCAGTGGACCAAGCAGATAGCACAAGGGATATTCTGCAAGACTAGAACTAAAACATAATTTCTCCTGTCATCAGTACAGAACGAGGGACAGAAGGAACATTCTGCAAGCACTAAAAGGTTTTTCCAAGCCTATGTGTGTATGACTTTTAAGCTATCCATCTGCATGTTGCTATATTGTTAGTAAAAGGAAACAGAAGTAGATCCAGCACAACATGTGAAGTTAAATATCTCAGACAGAGATGGAAGCTGATTATACCTTTATCAAGAGCATTTCTGTTTCTGCATTCAATTAACTCATGAATCTGTATTACATATCTGATGCTCAGTGATCAAACTGCTGTTGTTTTTCAAACTGTGCAATTTTTAGGAATTACTGGAGAAGACAAATATTCAATTTGAATAACCCACCATAATTTTTACCCATAGGCCAGGCAGGAGTGAGAGGATATCCTACCGAACACTAAACAAAGTACAATCTGTCACTTCAAAATGTTTTATAATCTTACAAAACACATGACAGAAGGTGAAAGTACACAAACAGTCCAATCTCTCATACCATTAGTTCCTTACTTGTTAATACCTAATGAAGTACCCAGGGCCAGGAGAACGAATCAGGGTGGGCATGAACAGGCAGTCAGAATATAGAAAAATCTGTTACATGGCATCAAATGTCCTTGCTTCACCTGTTTCAATTCCTTTGCCCTCCTTGATGAGCTCTCTCCCAATGCTCCATGTGTGTGTCCTCTAATAACTCTGCCATGAATAGAAGGGAAATGACCCCAAGTCTATTCATTTCTTCGACCTTTAGAATACCAGACTCCATTTAATTTATTTTTGCTTCTTTTCAGAATATTTTCTTGTTGGATGAATCATACCTGAATGCATGATACCTCATGAATTGTGATTAGAACTATCATTCCAAGCATGACTGAACACTTGCTGCCAAACAGACTTGCTTAGACTTGCAAATTCTTTATACAGGGAGGAGAGAGAGGAAAAAAAACCAAAAACCAGAACTATTTACAAGCTTTATTCTACTGTATGTTTTTATTTAGCATGACCTTCCTAATGTTTAGCTGAAACTGATCTCCTATTGTTCCAAAAAGTGTCCCTGATTCACAATAGGTTAATTATTGATATATTTTAAAAATAACAGTTCTGCATTCACTTTATCCATTCTTCATAATGTTCAGGAAAATTTTTAAATAATAAAAGCCAAATGGTCATAATTTCTTCTTGTGCTTAGAGGCATCTTCAGAGAATTCCAGCCACTCATTGGGGTTGGAGTTCCCGTTCCAGAGGCTATGCTGAGCAGCTGTTTCCAGAACACTGCCCTTATTCTTTTCTGCACTGTGGATGTTACCATGTTACCAGGGAAGGAATTTGAATTTGCAAATAGCTTCACCTGGGGAAAACAAAAAAGAATGTATGAAAGTTAATTGGGATCACTCATGCTCAACAACTTTTATTTATGAATATGCAAAGCTGGTCAGTTTAAACTTCCATGGAAATTACTTATAAAAGACAGTGGCAATTACAGGCAGAGATGCTAGACTAGATCAAAAACAAGGTTTCCTCATTTTTCCAACAACTATGTTTCAATCATATTTTAAAAGGAAATAAATGGGCACAGAGATTGCCAGACCCCCCTAGTAGTTTTTCGTGCTGTTTGAAATGAAACTAACAAAGTAACCCTATGGAAAACCAGAGAGAATGGGAAAATTCCCTTAAAATACTTTGCTTGAGACATTAATTTATAATTAGAACAGAGGATAACTGGCCCTAAAGATGCTCTATTATCATGGCAACTATGAATGCTGTCTCTTGAAATCCATTATGACAGCATTAGGTCAGTGTTCTTACTCCTAGAGATGAACTTTAAAAAAAAAAAAAAGACAAAGACAACTAAGTGCAGTCATTTCTTTATTTTACATTTCCTCCTTGATATTTCTCCATATGTAATTATGTACAATAATTACCTGGTTTAGATATCCCTAACTGTGTATTTCCCAGCATTGCTGTGAGATTGTGATGAGAGAGGCAGCTGGAAACAATGTCTTTAACAGTCTCATTCCAGGTTTGATCTTGTCAGCATGGCAAAGAACAGGATGTAAGATTGGAAATCTGCAGGAAGAAAGCTGCAAGTATCATTCAATTTCAGGAAGACAGAAATAATTTTCTCCATTTGCTTTTTTCCCCCTCTCTGTTTTGTATGCCTTCGTATTGGTGTCCTTCACAAGAAATTACTCCAACAAGTGCAGCAACAGTAACACATTCAGTCCACTAAAGCTTTTTGTATTTCAGAGAAAGGGAAGAAAAAGCCTCTGCTTACAATAGCATCTCAAATACAATAACAATAGGTTTCTCTGATAAACAGTATTGCCATGTAAAGAGCTGGCACAGCCAAACCAATGAGAATTTGGAATGCTATTGAAAGGACAGCCTTATTTTACACTCTACGCTTCAAAGCAGAAAATTTAGGTATGTGACTAATCATTTGCAAAGGGAGTAAGTAGAGGAGCTAGACAAGCAACCACAATCTGGGTTAGCCCTTTAACAATAGTTTTAGCAAGAGAGACATACTAGCAGCTTTTAGACTCTCTTTTGTTTCCTATTGACAGTAATGCAATAAAGTGGATTTCAGCTCACATCTGCAGGTATTTGTACTGGATTTGCATAGCCAAACTTTGGTAGCAGGAGAAGATTACAGAAATGGCTTCTGTGAGAAACAAACCCAAAACCGCATTATAACTCATGGATTCATCACCATTTTTCAGTACCTTACCAGAAAGGAGGCTGCAGCTGGAACACACAAAAATTATTGACATTGCTGGTCTGAAATTTTCACTGGGACAAACTCACCTTCAGCAACCATTTGAAAAACGCACTTCAGCATCATCTGATCCAAAGCTACCTAAGCAGTCCATAAATATTTCCTATTCTTGGCTGCATCCTGAGGAACACTGTCTGTGATTTTACAGCCTTGCTTTACTCTTCAAGTTCAAACATAGTGCAATACCTAATGGACATTATCTCTGGAACAGCTACCTTCACATAGTATCTTTTCATCAGTTTCTCTCAGATAAGTCCCACAGAGCTTAAATTTACACTCATCAATTTTTGTAGACCATTAAAATCTTTGGTCATTAACTTGTTGCCTCCAGAGATTCTATTGAGCAGTTTTTCAAGTGCAGGAACTTACCCTCCAGGCCTGTAGAACCAGAAGCCCCTGCTGAGGATAGAACACTGCCAGACAGTGAAGGTTTCAGCTGTTTAACTTACTGCCTCAGCTGACAGTGCTTGCCACTAGGCATTCTGATTAGGTCAAGTAGGCAAGAAATCACAGCAAAATAACCTGACTCAAGAATAAACCTTTCTATTTTCTTTCCTTTAGCAGAAAGAAAAGGTCTGAGCCCTCTGATAACGGGACCCTTCAGTTATTTTTGGCTGTTACTTTCCCATTTTGTTATCAAGAAATTAGTGTTTAGCTTGAAAGTAGATCTGGGAAGAATAAATATTTATTGGGACAACAAACACGGAGGAAAACAGAGACACAAGCTTTTGGACTCAAGAGTGCCTCAGTGTTCATCAGATATTAAAAAAAAAAAAAGAAAGAAAAAAAAAGGAGTAGCTGTTCCAAGCTAAATGAAATTATGTTAATCACATAAATTACTTGATCAAACTCAGAAAGGTAAGAAGCTGGTAGTTCATATGAAGCAGAGGCAGAAAAGGGGTTTTAGCATCAGTATCAGAGGTACAGGCTAGCTGCAAAACCGTACAGATCATTAAACCAATATCTTTATTGAGTCAATTCTTTTTAGCTGCAAGTGAAGAATATTGGTCTGTGCATTCAACTTTTGAAGGTAGTCTGTAGGACTCCTTAGGGGATCAGGAATGAGCAGTCAGAAACAGAATGAAAAATACTGTCCTACTGTTAAGTGGCTATTTCCATCTATTATAAATTGCCTGAGCGAGCTCATTTTACCACATAGCACTCATTTAATTGCACCCATGTTCCATTCACAAGGACATTTGTTCCACCAAATGAAGTACACCACAGATTGGTTTGAACAAGTCTAGCACCTATAGATTTAAATGCTTTTGTTTTAGGGAGTCTTATTTGTAGTAACTGGGAAGAGTGTTTGCATTGGTCTGGCACTGCTTAGTTTCATTTCAGTTTTTTGGGTATGTGTCAGTTTATTTCTGAATATATGATTAGTAAGGTGGGGGATGGTTTAAAATTATGAAAGGAGACATCACCTGAAACTATGTAAGACAGAACCTGCTAGCAGCGTTTTCAGTTTTTGATTAATTGCTCTGTAGTCTGGAATGGGATGTTCTTCCCAAGGGTACACGGTTTACAGGGGTTTCTTGCACTTATATAGATAAAACTATTTTTGGCAAACAAACGTCTTGTACTTTATGTATCTTTTAAAGTCAAACTGGAAGATGTTACTTTTGAATTATAAATTATTTACTTATAGTAGAGTATTATCCTGAGTGACTTAGGAAATTTAAAAAAAATACTGATAAGGAATTTTAAAAGCAGTAAAACATGGTTTGAGAGTGACTGAAAGTAAACTCATTCCATTAGGGAGATTATTTAGAAAATACTGTGTGTCTGTTAAACTTAGCTTCTGCTAGTGGAGAAACCAAGTTTCTGCTTGACAAAGTAGAGTTATTAGCAGGCTAATGAGGGACTATAAGAGGGTCTTTACACCTTACCAGATTATAATAGCTTCCCAAATGTTCTACGTGCATTAGCATTTAATAGGAGCAAACAATTGGATATTAATGGAAAATAATTCCCATAATCACAGAAAGAATCCTTTCAAATGCTCATGGCAAACTGGGAGTGCTCAAAGAAGATAATGTTAACACTAATCTTAACACTTAGCTTAATCATGAGCAAAAATTGAAATTGGAAAGGTAGGAAAATTTTAGGAGAAGTAGTAAACAGGATTTTTAATATGGTCCATTTTCCAGACTATCGAAAACAATGTATTGTATAATGAATAATTAGAATTATGTAGGGTTTATACCTAAAAAATCAACTAAGTCCAAAAATTATTAAATTAATCTTAGTGATTTTTATGACACGATACAAATGTGTATGAAACTAATTATAGAGAGGTTTTAAGATTACTTGTTTTCATGTCATAGAATCTAAAAGTTAAACAAATCATACCTTACCAAGAAAAAAAAAAAAGCCACAGAATTAAACAAATAACTTCCCACAAAATGAAACCAATCAAAAAAATATATCAAAAATAAAAAAATGGTGAATGATTCCGTTGTTCTGCTTTGCTTTTGTGAGCAGTTTTATTTTTGCCTATTCATCTGACTTTGTCTCAACTGGTAAATTTTCTCACTGTTATCTTTCTCATTCCCTTCCCATCCTGCTGGAGATCGGAGGGAGTGGGCAGCTGTGAGGGGCCCAACTGCCTGCCAAGGCTAACCCAAAACAGAACCCTGATAGAAAAGGGCAAAAGAAGTGTCCCTTAGTAGTCAGTGAACATAATCAGATGGCAATGGGTAATAGAAACAATGACCTAAATCTTCAAACTGACTATTGACGTTATCTAGACTATGCAAAGACAGACAGACAGCCTCAAAGTGCATTCAGGGCAGAGAGCTTCCTGAGGGACAATTGACATGGGTGCTTGCAAACAGATCTGAGCTATACGTAGTTAGCTCTACATATTTATCAAGGAATTAACATGACTTCTGAATCTGTACCAAAAATAATTTAAAGTATAAAATGAAACACTAGGATACTAACTTAATCTTACTAAAATCTTGAGAATGTTGGGTATTTTATAAGTCCTGTGGTATTACAGGTAAAAATGTTTCTCCTTGAGCTAATTAGTGCTCAGTTTTGGTTGAGGTCCTGAAGTCTGTGAACTTTTATACACAATGTGCTGCCCTTGCAGGACCAAAAGAATTATTTTAATCCTGTGGAAAGAATGAGGCTGTTAACAGTATATTTCATGTTCTGAGGAAATATTTTCAAGCCAGAGGATATGGATTTCATATCCAACACTCAAATACTGTCTTAAACAGTAACACCTAAATATTAACTTGTGATGTCCTAAAACACAGATAAATAGAACTGCTCTTGGTAAACATGGTAAAATCTACTGTGAAATATCTGTTTTCACTTTTTTTTCCCCCTAGGTACTAAGGTATTTCCATCACAGAAAATACTTTCAACATTCAGAGGTTCATTAGACATTGAACCAGCAATATATTTTTTATTATTTTGCATAAATTGTGAGAAAATATTAACATGAAAAATATGTTGCATTTAAGGTTCATTGCTTTATGATGTTCAGCCAGTATGAATTGATGTCATACAGTGCCACTGAAGCCTATAGTTTATAGGTTCTCTTTAAAATCCAGTCCCCACTTAGGCACAGTGATTATCCTTTTCAAAGACTGCGCAATACATCATTCAGATATGAAGCTGTTCTTCCCAATTTAATGAAGAGCCTTGTGTCACATGTGACATTTGCAGGATGATAGTCCCACTTCAGGGTGAAAAAAGCCTCAAAGCATATGACTTCATATCTATAGTTTTCATTCAATTGTGTAACTGATCTGATGTGAATGAAAGCTTCTTTATTACTTACAAAGGAGGGATATTGACAGCTTTATGTGCCATTAGGCTCTCACACCAGTTGCTTTTGCATTTTTTTTTATGACTCCAGCCTGAAAGGAACCAAAACTTTTAGCACTTAGTCTCTTCCAAGCAGCTATTTCTAGCCCCATCTGGAGCCTAGCACTTTGTTTTTTGAAAAGAGCCAGCAAGGATAAAAGCTTAAAGACCAGGGCTCTGACAGTAACCCCATGGGTAAGTGACATGACATGACTAGCAATACATACAGGGAAAATTTCACCACCAAAAGAGCTGCATCCCATAAAATGCCTGTTGGGTGTGGTCCACAGCTCACACTAACTTCTAAATTGCATTTGTGTATTAAGACTAATAGTCAGCATGGATAAAAAACAATTCCATCCTATAGACAGAGACCACACAATAGCCAGGCCCTAGTCTGGCACAGCTTGGTTCAACAGTATCCAGACATGGGTACCAGATGACTCAGGACTACTGCTCACACAGGAGAGCATGTGCTTT